GTTAAAATCCGCCGGTGTCCACTGCCACTTAGGCTCGTTGGCGAAGTTTAGCACTCGAGTTTCGTTGTAAAATTGGGGGTAGCGAGCAGGCAGAATTGGCATGTGGTCGTTCTTAAGAGACATGTATGCCCACCAGTCCTCAGAGTTGATTAAATCGTAGTCATTGTTTGATAGCAGAACCGGGTCCGATTCGCCGTACTGCCAGTGCTGAATGACTACGTCTTTGGAGATAGTCTGGTTTTCGGATGGCTCGTTTGTTCCCCAGATCCGAATTCTCTTACCGGTAGTGGAGTTGATGAAAGAAGACATCTCGTTCACAAAACCAATGTAGTCGTCAGCCAGCGTCGCATCGTATTCGTCTGCGCCAACATGAACTTCCTTCGTCTCGAACCAGGGAAGAAACTCCGACCAGATACGCTTGACGGTTGGGATGGTATCCGGATGAGACAAGTTGAGCAAGTCGCGCTTCGTCAATGAGAGCTCAGGCTTCCACTTGGTGAGGTAGAGGCAATGCCCTGGTGCTTCGATCTCCGGGATAACAGTTACACCTCTTGACGCGCAATGACTCTGAAAATCGGCAAAGTCTTCTCGGGACAAGGTCTCGTTCTCCCGACCGTGAAGGATCGGCAACAAATTCTCATCTTCCGGCAGCAGCGAAAAGTGGGAGTAGACATCTTGCCATGACGCGTTCTGCCCGCGGTTGAGCGGGTAGTTGTCGCTGAGGTGATAGTGAAACTCGCTCATCTTGAAGAAGGAAGCGAAGCTGCACAGTTCCTTGAGGAACGTTGGCGCGTACCACTTGCGTCCGGCGTCAAGCATGAAGCCTCGCGTAGCATATGCGGGCGCGTCAACCGATCGCCCCGTGGGCACAGTTCCGTTCCCTATGAGCAGGAGCTGGAGCAAGGTTCTTGTCCCCCACCACATCCCCCGCGCGCCGGTGCCGCCAATGAAGGCGCCAGACGGGGAGATGACGAGCTCATAACCTTCCGACGTAGGATTGCCATTTTCGTAGGTGAGCGACGAGGTGTTGCTGGTGAAAGAGCCGAGAAGAATGCCGCTGGCGTTGGCGGGGCTGGGGAGACGATCGACGCGCTGTAATGTCCAGTTGACGCCTGTAAGCTCGCTAATGTCTTGTTGGAAGAGCTTCGCAAAGTCGTGGCCGCTTGGTGGAATTAGAGTCAAGCCATCTGTATCGGCTTTGGAGGCTAAACTTTCCTCGATGTAGATGGTCTTTGGGCTTTTATTGACGTGCCACACAGTGCCTGGAGAGGATTCCGAAGTTCGGAGGGTGGGAGGGAGAAGTTGGAGACCCCCTGCTAACACTGGAGTGCAGAAGAATGCCGTGATGAGCTGCAAGAGCGCCATGACTTGAACTTGTTTCGGCGCAAGTTGATGATATAGCCTGGCCTCTTCGAACACTTCCAATACACCTCCATTACATTGCCATTAGGATGATTGACCATTTATCCAGGAAAGCTATATATGTTTTGGTCCGTATCTCGGCTTCAGTGTTATCACCCCTCACTTCATCTAACTTTCAGAGATAGATCAGCAGAGCTGCCCCGCAAATTAACAGTCTGATGTAACAACGCATGCTGTGCTATGGTAACGTAACCGAAATCTCAACCGGGGGTTGGTTGCCCTCCGTCCCTTGCTTCATACCCGCAGTGAGCAACAAGCCACGGATTGCCCACTGGCCTCCGAGTTCTGCCAAATCGATGGTGATTGCGCCCAATATTAATGCATCCGATGAGCGTCGGGGAACGCCTGGTCTTAGATGAAGTTAAGACCACGGATGTGTCTAGATAAAACGAGATAGATTGTTCAATTGATTTCAAAGCGCTAGATAGTAAGATCGCGTCCCACCAGGGATGATCACGGCACGAGTACCTTCAAGATCACAGGAAGTGGTTGGAATGGGATCAAGCCTAAATCCGGATGATATCAAAGTTCAGTACAATTTACGGTAATATATTGGGCGACAAAAGCGTGTATTTTACTACTCAGTGCAACGCTGGCAACTGGAAGTTGTCTTTGCGGCATGCTAGTTGCGTTCAATATCTGAAAAGCCGAATTAGCATTCATGGACTTGGATGGGAGAAAGGCACTGGAGACTTACGAAAAGTTCTCCTTGTAGAACCAGACCTCCATGGCACCACCTCCGCCTTGCAGAATGCGTTTCTGAGCTTCAGCCGCAACTTGAGACAAGTCGAAGACCAATGATGCCGGACCACAGGCTATTAAGCCAACGCTCCCTGGTTGCTCAATGGCTCGCCTGGAAATTGCGGATACATCTGGTCGTCCGTTGAAGGTGCGTAGACTGACCTGCCCATAAGGTGATTGCCAATCAGTGTCGGAAGACTTCCCGGGTGTTTCAATCACCTCCTTGTCTGCATCATATGCCGGAGATTCTGGATTTGACGAGGTCGACTTGTTTTGCACTGGTGTTCCGGTCTCATGGAAAGAAATTGAAATACATGGCGCCTTTGTGTTCTCGGCATGGGGACGTCGAGCAATAATGTCGTCCAATGCTCTGCAGTACCATTCCCGGAACTCCAGATCACGGGTTGCCACAATAACTTCCATCTCTGTGTTTGCGGTCCCTCTATATTGTCGTTGTAAAATGTGCTCGATCATTGGTAAAGAGAATCCTGCCCCTGCACCCCCGGCAACAACGAGCGTTCGGTCGAAGCCAGCGAACCATCGATCAGTAACGCCACCGTACGGACCGTCGAGCAGTACTCGAATAGGTGCCTCCGGAGATTTCCGAGCAATCGCAGCAAGCCTAGCAGTTATCCCTCCTCTCGGTTGGATATAGAAGACCATTTCGTTTCGCTGGCCGTGTCGTGGGATCGAGCAGATCGTAAACGGGTGGGCAGTCAGTGAGTGCATGCCGCTAGTGAGAAACCTCAGATACACGTGCTGTCCCGGTGTCCACCGGGCATTGGTTTCAATGACGACCTTCAGACAATGTGGTGTGACCAGTGATACTCGGGCGTGATCGACACCGTGCTCCATGAAGGTTTTGAATTGTGAGTAGAAGAAGCATAGAGCGTACAACACAGCTGTGACGATGAAGTAGTCCCATGAGGTGAGACGGAAGTCGCAGTGGATGAAGAAGAAAATGAAGAAGACAGCGGCTGCAAAGAGGTGAGTTGCCTTGAACAGCTCGTAATATCGGTCCCTGGCAAAGCAAGTTGACTGTCAGTAATGTCTTCATGTCTGCGTCCAGAAACCGGGGGGACAACGATGAACATGTTAACATACCGGACCCAACGAATAGACATGAAGGTCAACCATGCTTGAGCTAGGATAGCAATGACGCCTGTAACCCACATACCTCCATCATTCCACTGCTTGACTATGTCGCCTTTCCAGATGTGAAATACGATAAAAGGAAACGTATGGACCAGCGCAAGTACAAACATAGCCCATGCCACCCAGTTATGCCAGATATTGAGTTTCTCGTGGGATATACCGGTCAGGGCTGAGATCGGGTTTGCCTTCGCGCCTAGAATGCTACGGACACAGGGTTAGAAAAGCCAAGAACAAGATCTTTGGGGACTTCTCGAGTTACTCACAAAAGAAATGGCATACATGCCAATGCCATGTAACCGGCACGAGTGGCAATTGGCGGCGAGTTTCCAAAGCTCAGTTGTTTGGTGTTAGGCCAGTAGTATGGCTGAGGACCGAGGGTCATTGCTAGAAGATTGTCAGTCTTCGATCTCACAGGGCCTCACGCGAGGAGGTAGTAGTACCTAAGAAGAACACAGCACCTAAAGCGCCGAGGAGATATGTGCCTAGGGACTGTGTGTTCCAGGAACCAAGCCGCCAACTCTTGTAGGATAAGAGACGGCCTGATGACAAAGTCCTTAGCCATAATGTGTTTCTTCTCCACGATGTCGGGGCGTATGTCGAGGCAAAGCTGGCAATAGCCGCAAACAATATAACCGTTACGAAGAACGCAACAGTAGGTAGTCCGTATCGATGATCAGCCTCGTACCAAAACACCCAGTAACCCGTCTTGAAAGCACATTGCTCAGGTGTCATAGAGCAAGTTCCAGCATCGCGGCTGGAGTGTAACATGACCGGTTGGCTCAGCCAGGGAAGAGACATTATGGCGTTAGGCTTCGATTAACCAAGTAGGATTCTGGGAATGAAATTCTGCTCAAAGACGAGTGCGAGGAAGGGTTTACGATAGAAATGTCATAAGCATCGTGCTTGGCAAAACGCTGACAATTACTTCGCTTGTGGATCAGATGACGCTGAAGTAGATTTTGCGTAATTTGGCATATACGCCAGTAGAGGATTACTAATTGGCCATCGCCGACAGTCCTGCCGTGATATTGAGGACTATCAGGGTATCAAACCGATTGCCACGTACATTTGAGCGCGTTTTTTCGATTCGCGAAGTCGGGAATCCTGCGCTGCAATTCCCAGGGTTTTGAGCACATTTGAGCTCGTTAACTCTCCCTATCCGGAATATAAGCACCACCCATGCCACTGCAGTTCTAATGTCACACTAGACGACCAACAGATGCGTCGGCAACTTGACCTAGGGGTTGCAATTGGCTAAGGCTTGTGGTTTGGCAGATTTCCACGTGGAGAATGGAGTCAACTTGCGCGTTTCGGGACCCTCTTTTCCCACATTGTTTCCGACGACACGGACGTCAGATGCCGTGCCACCCGGGATGGAGGGAGAAACTTGCTCATAGTAACGCTCGTGCCGATCTTCCACTTTACGGTATCATCTACCTTGAGTGGATGAGAGGAAGAGTCTTCTAAACTTTGATAAATCATATGATGCCGCCATCGATATCAATGATGGGACCAGATTTGTCTATCAACGACTAAGCACTAAGTACAATACACCCTACTACATCGTCTCTGCGAAATTCCATCGACAAGAATCGACTGTATCAATTTACAGCCGGATTGAAAGCTCAATCATTCCAGAGCAAATATCCACCGATTAGAGTATCACTCCATAGTCGACCGAAATGGATATGAACATGGCAACTAGCACAGCCATGGCGATAGCAACATCGACTAGTGCTGCCTCCGGCGACATGTCGAGCATGTCGATGTCAATGTCTGAAATGGCTATGACATTCTTTGAAGCCTTCCAAACACCGCTATACTCGGACGCATGGACACCGACAAGTCCCGGTCAATATGCGGGCACCTGCATCTTTCTTATCGTGCTGGGCTCGATCTTACGCCTCCTACTCGCTCTGAAGCCCGTACTCGAAGACCGATTCTGGAGAAACTACCCCGTCTACGAATCGGACAAGCAAGCCTTGACAAGTCACCATGCAGAGAGTGTTGAGCCAGGACAGGCCGGCTCGGTGATCCGAAAAGATATTGTGGGACGGTGGAAAGGGTGGCGGGCTGGTGCTGCTGCTGCAAGGGCAACTTACGAGGTCATTGTGGGAGGGATCGGATATCTCCTGTGAGCCACACCTTCGTACTTGCATGATGTCAATCTGGCTAACAATTTTCATAGGATGCTTGCGGTCATGACGATGAACGTTGGCTACTTTCTCTCCGTGCTCAGTGGTGTTTGGCTCGGAACATTCCTGCTCGGCGGACTTGCTGGCGGTAGTCCGGCAATCCACTGCTAGAACAAATGACAGCGATGGAGTTATACCAAGTCGAAGCTTGGTCATTAAAAATTAGCAAATCGATTAATTATGATAAAGTAAGGTTCTAGCATCACGTCTTGACGCCAGTATCGTCACACCCAATCCCCTTCTTCGTGATATGGAATATTGTGTCTTGAGCCAGGACCTCTTCCCAAACTGACCGCAGCTGGAGCCCGATATGGTGATGTCCCTTGATCAAGGTCACCGCTATCATCATGCGGTGGAAGCCAGTTCGCCCCGGTATGCACAGTGTCTTCGACGCTCTCCACCGAGTCGACGCCCATACGCCGCCCATGTTTTCCGGTCAAAGCGCCGTAAAAGTATCTCCGCCCCAATTCCCCAACTTTCTTCTTCCTATCCACCGAAGACAGCTGCGATAGACCTTCAAAGTCATCCAACATTTGGCTTTCGTTGATGTAATACATTGCGCCAGCAATGCTCCGGGGATCAACTGGCATCTCGGGCCACTTGATGAATAAACTTCCCCCCACAGCCACGATCATCAGCGCCAAGATCGTCAGACTAATAATCGAGCAGATGTTGTGGGAGTTGAGCGTCTGAGTTAGGTTGTACGGTACATTGGCCAACAGCATCGGAAGAAACTCGGCTGTTATGGACATGAAAGCTGCCAGCATCAGCGCTATGTCGCCGTTGATAATCGCGGTGTAAATGCCGTAAAATCCATTCGTGGGGCGTGTAAAAAGGATGGATGATTCTGGTCGTTGCGAACGCCGGCCCAAGTGATAATACGGACTGACAATAGCAATACCTGCAATCCGTATTAGTCAGGCTCCTCGATCCTGGCTGATGCTGGGATCGAGGCTACTCACTCATGAAAATTGATTCCCAGCAGAAAATAATGGTGACACCCAACGCAGCAAGGAAGAAACGGAGTCCGAATGTTTGACTGTCCATGAAGTCTTTGAAAGAAGTACGAAGACCAAGCGTAACATGATAGTAAAGTATGATGATGAACAAGGCAAGCAAAAAGCATACGAACACAATACGCCACCAGTTCGTAAGCGCGATGAAAGGGTTTGGTTTCCGGTCATTGGTCGCATTGCCGTGTGGATGTTTGATAATATGCGACTCATCATCGGTCGATAGCGCTCCTGACCCTGCCGATTGCAAGTTGTCGGCCGATTCGTCATAGTAGATGAAGCCATATTCGTTTCGACCGTGTCTATTCTCAAAGAAACCCAGCATGTAGTTCTTGTCTGCCATTGTTCTTTCGTTAGCTTTGAATTTGACATGATGTGGCCGAATTTCTGCGTTCAGAGAAAGTGATGATATCCTCCCGATGCTCCAAGGATTTGCGTGAAGTTCAGTCTTCTAGCTGCGAAGGAGGTACAGGAGAACCAGCAGGAGAGCGACGATGAGAACGAGCAACGCGATCAAGATATAGGCTAATTTTGGGGAGACGCCTAGCTGAATGCCGCAGCCGTCGATGGCGGTGATTTTGCATTTGCCATGTAGTTTCATCCCAATCGCCTCAGTTGCTAAGGGTGCCAGGAGAGACGATGACCATACCATCAGTGTGGTGATGAAAGGGACCGGATGACCTTGCCTGAGAACCTTAAAAGGAGCCAAAAACCCATTCCAGCCTTCGAACTGAATGGTCATGCTATTCTTCCCGAGTGCACCTCCTTCTTGAGATAATGCGTGGAAAGGCTGATATAACTTCGCGTTGAGATCAATAATTCGGAGAGGAATTGCAATCATGACGGCCAGAATCACCGGAAGGAACTTGCCGAGGAAGTAATCGCCATCGGTGAAGGCGAACTTCTCGACTTCGGTTATGACGGTATCGGGTTTGCTCGTCGACCCTGGATGGGAAACCGAGGTGAATACCGCCGTGGAGGGGCCAATAGTGGACACTCGTGTACTAGGCTTCGGAGTGGATGTGATCGTACTGAGCTTGCCCGATATTGAAGTGACGAATGTGGTGGGGCTCGGAGTTGATATGACCGTGCTCAAAGAGCCTCCGATCGTCGTGATCACTGTAAACGACAAAGGCGTGCTCCCAGTCGGCGTCGTCACCATCGCGATTGTGGTTGGCGTCCCTCCAATTACAGAAGTAAACTCCCTCGGAGCCGGTGTTCTAGTTGTCAAAGTCTCCTTGCCATCAATGGTTGTCCTGATGATCTCTGGGGCGTCGGTGGTTGTGAAGACGGCAGTACTGCCGCCGACTTGGGACACAAGAGTCAAAGACACCGGCTTGAAGCCTGCGGCGTTTGTAGACTGAATCAGCAACACCGTAGGCTTTCCAGCAATGGTCGTCTGGACGGCAAACAGGCCTACATCCAGAGACGGAGTGACTGTGATTACCATCTGCGTCTCTTCGCCCCCTATCCTCGTCTCGACCGTCTCCGCAGGTGGCATATAAACGCCAGTAAAAACACCTCCAGCATTGGTCACCAAAACCTTAGGTTTCCCCGTTTCCACAATTGTCACAACCTTCCCGTCAAACACACTGGTGATGAGTTGTGTGACTGGGTTAGGCTGCTCGCTCTGCTGGCCTCGCGACCCTCCAGGAATGGTAACAACTTTGGTAATTTCGGTTGTTCCTACGGATACGTACACTACCCCCGCCGCAGTCGAGGTAGCTACACTTGCAATAGTCGTCGGCACGGCAGAAACAACAACAGAGCTGTAGGTGCTGACCCTTGCCGGCGATGTGAACTGGGCCGTTGAGGTTATGGTCGCCTCTCCCACTTCATTTGTGACTTCGACGATTGTCGAGGCTGGTGCAGCCGAGGTTGAGGTTGTCACACGACCAATTGTCTTGGTTGTCGTCTGGTAGTAGGTTGTTTTTTCGTCGCTGATAACATCTGTTTGGGTGGTTTGCACAGGTATTGTCGTGGTCATAACCACGTTGCTACTTGCCAAGGTTCTCGTGACCGACCTCTGCGTCGCAGTTGTGATCACTCGTGTATACGTTTTCTCGCCAGTACTTCCGGGAATTGTTGTTTCAACAGTCGTCGAATAGCTCCACAGAGTACTGCCTACGATGGATGTTGTGTACTGGAAAGTGGATCCAGGTCTTGTGACTGTAGAAGTGAACTCGGACTTGATGATGGAAAACACCTTGTCGTTTCCGATGGGCTCCAACGATGATGAGCTGGAAGATGATGCGACACTAGTGACAGGAGCTTTGGGATGGTTCGAACCGCCAGAGGAGGAAATCAAGCTGGCTTCTTTGCCGCTTACTGTCGAATCCGTTATGTCTTTAATCTTGTCTGAACTTTCCGGTCTTCTGGTTGTTAACGGTGAAGACAGAATAGAGTCAACTTCTTTACTCTGAAGATCATTGAATCTCGTAGTGCCTGGTGATGATGACGATGTTGGCCCTGAAGTTGGATTATGTTCTTTACTCTGGATATCATTAGATCTCAAAGTGCCTGGTGATGATGATGATGTTGCCACTGAATTTGGATCATCTGTAGCCGTAGTAGTCCCGGTAGGAAGTTCGTCAGATGGCGCAGATGAGGGCGGACCGGAGACGGTCGGGCTCTGTGCCTCACTTCCTGATGCCGAGGTGGTGGTTGTGACTTGTGCCCTCTCTTGTCGACCAGTGGGAGATTGTTCTTGCTGCGTTGATACCACAAAAGCTACACTAGATGCTTTTTCTGACGATGATCTGGTAACAGGAGCCGCTGAAGTTGACTTCGAAGCAGGAGATCTCCCAGGCCCAGGAGTCGTCGGGAGATCGGCATTACTAGTTTGGATGATCTTCGACAGCTGTATACCAGAAGACGGACCAGAGTCTGAAGACGATAGGTCCTGTGCTGAACCACTTGGACTTGAGGACTTCTCGCTGATAGAACTGGACTCCTGCCGTGAATCCAGGTAATTGCGCGGCTCAATAACTGCTGTGCTGTCTGAATTTGGCATCGTATTCTGAGCATATATCACCAACCCCACCAAGATGGAGAGGACGAGAATCATGCATACGATGAAAGGCCATTGCAGTGGTTTAGGTCGATAGTCTGGACGCGTCGGTATTGGAGGTGGACGATTCTTCTTGCCTAGCTCATCGTGGTACTCGTCGATGTCCTCAGTAGCTTGCAGATTATACTGCGTTTGCGAGTCAAAGGTGGGCTGTATCGCTGGTTGGTGTTGATGCATGTTTACTACTAGCCTGTATCACGGCATGATTAATCGTTGAACACCTGTTAAGTCGAGGTCTTGTTTCCCGCTGGTTGATATTCATATTCAGACCAGAAGGAGACGTCAACGATTGTCCACATGCAGCTTTCGAATAATTCAGAATAGGCCTGGGAATGAAAACAGAGTTCGCCGAGCCAGGAATTCGCCAATGTACAACATGAAGAAAGCCCTGAGTCCTTGGGTCGCGCACACCAAAGCAAAGCCACCATCTTGTTGTGGTGGCTTTGAGACAACCAGGTAGCTGTAGCAGCTCAGCTCCGCGAGTGGTCCATCGTCTTTCTGGTGCACTACTGTACCAGCCTCATCGAGTGCCAGGGAGGCCGCTTGACCGCTTGCAGTCTGCATCAACAGCATTTCATAGTCGAAGGTTGAAGCCAATGATCATGTGTGGTTGTCCTGGAAGGCGCCCGCTACCCTGAGCTGAAGTCCGGTGCTAGTCACATTCCGGACTGGTGAGTACCGGTAGGTATATGCGGGCTCAGCCATGGCATTTTTGGTTAAGAAGGCTGATTCGCTCCAAGGTCAGGGAGCACGAAGGACCGAAAACATGGCCTTTCTTTCTGTGGTATTTTGCCATTTCTCATGTACTAATGCCGAGAATGCTTTGATGCGTTTGATAACAATCGATGAAGTAGGTACTTAATGTAGGCTCAATCGACGATTTCCATGGTCTAACTTGCAGGTCTGACAGCCATAGAAAACAACTTGTCGAGAGACGATTTCGAAGCACGTTGGGCGCAACATTGACTCGGTGGGTCGGCAGCATGGAACTATCCAGATTCGCTCAGACACGCCAAAGCAGTGAGGTGGCTAGGGACACTAGGCCATATTGCCGGGGCTCCACGTACGTAGGGCTGAATGCCGCAGAAGTCGGGATTGTGCTACAACGAGTTAGGACTTCTAATCTAGCCTCGCATTTCCGGTAGTTGAGGCTGTGAAGACGATGCTTCGGAAGGCGAGACATCTCTACCGAATGGCTGGCATACTCTTTGAGACCGGCCCGTGGCCGAGACCAAGGCTATTTCACTGAGAAGTACCTCCCAGAGGTAGATCATGTTGTTCCTAAGTAATGTATCTTGGACTAATTACGGCGACATAGTACCACAATATCTCCATGGTACCCCTAGCATGAAGGTCGAAGAGGCATGGCGATAATCGGTCGGAGCATACTAGATGGAGTTCGCCAAGGCACATTTGTATTGCTAACATCCTACAATGTAGCTTTTGTTATTGAAATTACTGATGGCAGGCTGCTATTTGCTGATCTGAATGGTACATGTACACAAGCCTTTACAATTCCTCGCTAAGCCAATTAGTATCATTCTCCTTCTCATCGACGTACTCGGAGAGTCTCTCCTTCAAGTCCTCGACTTCAATTTCGCCGTCGACGTAATCGACCTTGTGCTTGTGGGGAGGAATGGGGACGCGGCCGGGGACGTGAATGACACCGTTCTTGGCAATTCCATCGGCGACGACAATGGGGATGTAGCCGTTGAGCTTGACCTTGGTCCAGCCGCCCCAGGTGGCGACATCGACGGCGATGTTCTTGCCCAGCAAAGTGGGAAGATCAACGTGGTAGTGCTCCATGGTGTTGACATCCTTCTTCTCATCGGGGCGGTACAGCGCGTCGCTATATAGAGTCGCATTGCCGACGATCTGGTACTTGAGCAATGCTCTAAGGTACTTGAGACCGAGGTCGGTGTTGAACAGGAAGGCATTCGCCTTGGGTCCAAGGCGAGCGAAAGCGTTGTTGGAAGGGGCGAAAACGGTGGTGCCGGTGGACTTGACGCCGTGAATATACTTGACGAAGTCGGTCTTCTCGTATGCGAGCAACAGCGTGGAGAATTGACTGGGGAGAAGGGTGAGTTCTCGGCCGACCATGGGTGGCGGGATGATCAGGCTATTGACAGCGTGAATAATTCCATTCTTGGCGCGCTGTAGATGGCAAGTCAGATTTGTAGGATTAATGAACCATGGGGACTTTGAGTGCTCACAATGTTGACGGCAACGACCTTGGCGTAAAAGTTGATGCGCACGCCGCCGAGGCCGACACTGGTGCGAAGACGCTGGGGCTTGTCGCCGAGGAACTTCTCATTGAGCAGCGTGGGGAGAGTGTGGGTGCGAAGGACCCTCTTCGCATCGTAGTCACCAATACCAACGTGGTACTTCAAGATGGCTTCAATAACCTCCTTGCTCGGCTTCTTGTGCTTGGGCAGATGCTCGAAGGCGCGGTTCGTCGGCACGAAAAGTGTGTGATTCGCCTCTGTGCTCTTCAAAACATTGACAATGTCCTCATATTCGTTGACAAGCTTGGCAAACTCGGTCGTGTGCTCGCTCTTCGAAATGAGCTCGTAAATAGTCTTATCGGAAACCTTGGGTTCGTTAAAAATCTCCTCCTCGAAAAGGTGGTCAAATTTGTTCTCGACTGTCTCTTCGAGTGAGTGTAGTGCACCCTCAATGTGTGCGGATAAGGAATCGATGCTATCTTCCACAGTGCTCACGATGGAGTCCTTGGAGGGGACGCGGTCCCACCAGGAACCTCGATTAGCGTGGTCATCGTTCTTGATGGCCGCTTGCTCGAAGATCTTAGGATCGGGAAGGATAAATGCGTTGGCAACGGCCACGCATGAGAGGGCTGCAACAGCTTTCATTTTGGATTGATTTTCCAGATAAGAATGCTACCTTAGTTCTGGAAAAAGGTTGACAAGGGAGAAGGGAATGTCAGAAAGCGACTTTGGGGGAAATGCAGATAAGGAACCTTTTGTTCGACTCTTCGGCACCGGGAGGCGAACACCACGCACTTTGCGTACGCGGAATTGCTGTAGGTAGAGACACTAGGGACGACGCCAACAGCTAGAGGTCCAATGGTAAGCTGACGTCAACGGGATCGGACAACAGCAGCAAAGTGAAACTCTCCCCCGCCCATCCCACCCAATGGAACTCGAATCCCCGAACGAGCCGAAGGGACGACCAGACGGTGGGAACTCGTTCCATGCGGGAACAAATAGCAGCTCAAGCTGTCGCCGCGGCCTCAAGCACCATCAGTTCTCTTCTAGAACTTCACCTCATCATCGACTTGTCGCATAATGAATGAGGTGATTTGGGTGTGGGAGCTCGCAAGCTATGCAGAGTTATGCAAAACTAAAATCGAGCTAAGTCGGTGTGTACGAGCTTGAGCTATGGACAAAGCTACCAGAAAGCCACACAACCACCACAGCTCTCAGCTACATCCAATGCGTCATTCATCCCACCTATGAAACCGCTTTCATCCTCAAGGCCATCGGGCTCTCGGGGTTCATGGGTCTCCATCCATCGGCCTGATTTCTGCCCGCCTCCGACCACGCACGGCCCCACTCCGCTGCTCCGCTGTCTCTAGGCTAATGCTTCCCGGATCACCTCCGGCCGGGTTCTAGGCGAGTATTGTTACCGGATTCCGAAGATATTGTAACAAAATAAACATTGGATACGTATACATATCTCTGAAGCTTCTGTTTACAGGCCTAATCTCAACTCACAATTCGATGCCGACTCGCAGAAGTCAAGCAAAGCCCGCACCATTGACTTCTTGGCTGCATTTCCCCACAAACAAGAAACAGCAGTTCATGTTTGACAATACGATGAGAGCTGAGAAGTTTCGGTGCCAAGGTGACACCGAAAAGGGTAAGACATAACGCTCATTCTCACATGGAACGTTCATCGGGACTACGGACGAGCAAACGGCTGTGTGGGATGACCAATCTTGTCTGGTGTATGTTTGACTTTCGCAATCTGCTGCAGGCTGGAGATGACTTGCCCCGGCATCTCAAAGGCTTACTTCGTTCTTCAATTCCGGTTCCGGGATTTCCAAACTACGGCTCGGAAACCCGAGGATGCTTGATTTGACAGCTGATAGTCGCACATCTAAAAGGTCGTGTTCAACTGCTCCGCGGGGCAGCAACAGAGACAGTGACGGGGCCGGAGTATCTTGAGTCCTGCTTATGGTGCACAAGGCACTATGGTATTAGCGTGGATTACATCTTGTACCTGAAGTATGGTACATGTGGCTATCTGGGTTGACAAAGAAAATTGCCCGGCTTTGGGAGATAAATTTTGAAACATTTGGCGAACTTGCGAACCCCTCCAAGAAAAAAAACCACAAATATGCCCCTCAATGCCAGCTTGATGGCTTCGAAAACTACATGTATCAACTTATTGTGCATCACTTCTTCAACCCCAACGGATTGCCTGATGCAAATTGTTCAAGTCGCGAATACTTGTCGTTCAGGACATTCTGGATGTGCTGCTCAACCCGCGGGAAGATATCCTTATGGGCGGTAGGGCTCATCCAGGCGTCCAAGTGGCCGCGGTTCTGGAACACCTGCCTCTCATAGCAGACGCCGCCGTTGGCCTCTGTGAGGGTAGTGAAGGATGTGTCGGTGTTCTCGGGCGCGTACACCTCGTCCTCGGATCCAGAGAAGAGGAAAATGGGCAGACCCTTGAGGCGGGCGATGTTTTGCGGTGTGACGAGGCTCTCGTTCTGCGAGTCGGTCACTACTTCGTGGGTGCCTTGGTACATCAAATGGTTCAAGTTCGCCATTGAGGCACCACCAACAAAGTTCTCTAATTGTGAGTGAGTGGCCTCGTTGAGTCCCTTGTGTGACCAGAGCCTGGAGAATGTTAATCATAGAGGAGGCAGAAAAGGGCTGGAATATACTAACCGGCCGAAAGCAAGAGAGCTGCGATGGCAGACAACGGAGTTACAGATCTCATTGCGGTGACCAACGGGGTAGAAGCGAAGCAACTGGTTGATAGCCTGCTGGATGTATCCATCGCGAGGTGTGCTGGTGCAGTCAAACCACTTGCCCTGGATGAGGTTGTAGATGTTGGCCATGGAGATGGGGAGGCTAGCCTTTAGGTTGTTGACCTTGGGGAACTTGGGGTTCATGAACACCTGGGACGCGGTGACACCGCTAAGCCAT